GAGGTGTCCATAAAAATAATAATTACATTTTAATTTTTACCACTTTATGCTACACTTGGTATACTGTGTCCAGTTCTGGTTGCCATGATACAAAAAAGATGCTGAGACCATAGAAACTGCAGAGAACAGTCAGGAAGATGATAAAGGGTCTGGAGGCCAAAACATAGGATGAAGGGTTGCAGGAACTGCATAATCAAGCGTAATGAAGAGAAGGACTAGGGGTGGCATGACAGCAGCCATCCAGTACTTGTGGGGCAGCCACAGGGAAGAGGGGGCTGACTTATTCTTCAAAGCACCAAAGGGCAGGACGAAAACCCAAGGAGTGGAAGTTTGCTAAAGAGAGATTCAACCTGGAACTAAAGAGAAACTTCCCCTCAGTGAGATCAACTAATCAATGGAACTGCTTTGTCTCCTGGAGTTGTGGGTGCTCCATCGCTGGAGGTTTTCAAGAAAAGATTGGACAACCATTTGTCTGGGATGGAATAAGGACTCCTGCCTTGGGCCCCTGGGGGTTGGACTAGAAGACCTCCAAGGTCCCTTCCAGATTCTAGTCTTTTTATGAAGAATTGCAAGTGGGCCATCAGGAAAGGTGGCACTTAGTACAGCCTTTGTGCATCAGGTAAGGGCAGGCTGTCTTCTGCTCCCCGGAAGAGTTGCTTAAGCCTTAAGGGACAAATCGTGGGACACTGCAAGTTTTTAGGTTTTGCTAGTTCACGAGCAAGAGGGCTTTCTGCTGCTCAGGCGGTGGGTGGGTGGGTGAGTGAGAGAACCGATATAAACATGCAGGATTGTGATCTGGGAACAAGACTGACCCAAAGATTTCCAATTAAATATTTCAGGACATCTAGTGATGAAGCACAGTCAGAGCACAGTGGATGTTGTGGTGTGTGAACTCATCCAAAAGAGAATTTGTGCCTCAGCCGGAAGAGTTTAAGATTTGCTGTTTTGGTGGTTGTTTTGAAGTCACAGTTTGATCCTTTCTGTGAATTGTTCTCTGTGCCAATAAATTCGCACACCAAGAGAGCTTTATTCAAACTGCTGTTGAGAAAACAAAGAATGACGCTTTGCCCTTGGCAAACTGGCAGTGGGGGGGCTGTGAAAAAAAGGAGGCAAGAAACGTTTTTCCCCTCAGCACCCTGCGCTTGAAAATAACTTGGCCAAATTAAAACATTTGGGGACTCCAGGAAATATAAAGTTACTTTTTAAACAGGCAGAATATCTTTCTCTGGAGCAGGGTTTTAACAAATGCAAAACTTCAAGAAAAGCCCCAGTGACTCCTTAGAAAACAAAAGTAATTTTGAGCAACTGCACATTTGAAATGGACAGACACAAGCTTGTAGATGCCATGTAAAATGGCTGACAGTCAATTTTTACAAAATAAATTGCAAAATAAGTTTTTTTTTAAAATAAAAATACTACTAAGCAAGACATGGATATTCTAGACCACATTTCTCATCCTAAATATAGAACCAGACTCTGCAATCCAACAGTTTTAACTTTAACAATTTATTTACATTTAAAGTTGAAGTTAAATTTATGTTAAATTTTCTGCTTGCCTCCAGAAGTTGCGGGTGCTCCATCACTGGAGGCTTTTAAGAAGAGACAGGGCAGCCTTTTCTCCTGAATGGTCTATGGTCTCCTGCTTAAGCAGAGGGATGGACTAGAAGACCTCCAAGGTCCCTTCCAACATGTTTGTTTTGTGATTGTAGGGACTGAACTGACGTTTTCCTCTCCTGCCCGTCAGATCTCTGAATATTGAGAGCTGAGGGAAAGAGTGTGTTATGGGCAGCAGTCTAAAATGCTAAAGATGTCTCAAGTGAGAACTCTGCATTAATTTATTTGGTGATCCATTTGTTTATTTTCTTGGCTGTCCAAGGTACTCTCCAGAGTCTTCTCCAACACCACAGTTCAAAAGCATCAATGTTCTTCTTATCCTGCTTCTTCAAAGTCCACTTCCATAAAACGCCACAGTGAATATCATTGCCTGCACCATTTGCTTTTTTGTAGAAATAGACATATCCCAGCATCTGAATCTCCCTTCCAAGGCCTCCTGGCATCTCTACTCAGCTCTGGAGGACTTGTTCCTTTACTATTGATGATCCTGAAAGGCAGAAGCTCTTCACCACTTCAGTATCTTAATTCTCAATTCTAAAGCTGATAGCTCATTGTCTTTATATTTAATTGTGGTCCCATTTTTTTCACTGTCCTTCTTGACTTACTAGGGTTTGCTGGATCCTTATGCATTATGGGGAGAAAGAGGGAAAATATTGCATTTAATTACCAAACCAAGCAGGTATGCAATATGAGATTTATATGATAATCAACAAACATAACAACAGACTGTTCACATTTTATATATTACCTTGTACATCCCAATTGAGGCTATTTTTGTAACAGGTTAATTCAAGCTTGATGCAATGGGTAAATGGCTAATTATAAAGCATTATCAGATTATTAGATCCAAAACATCTTTATTAATGGGGCTGTCACTGAATGTTGACATTTTCAGAACACATTGTTCACTTAAAAACATGCTTAAAGAATCAGTGTGGATTATCAATAGTTGAGGTACGGCTGATAAATGAAAAGAGGTTCAAAGACATGCAAGGCTCTTCAGCAGCAAACTGCAGACTGCAACTGTCTTCTTTGCTTCAAAAAAACTGAATGTTAGTAAATGGGGAACTTAATGAGATTTTAAAATTAAATTAATCAGAAATATTAGACCGGAGTGCTCTATGTTAGAAAAGAAGTAAAAGAAAGAAAGCTGGCTGAAGGGAAGGAAATTTGTCTCACTTTTAGAAAAAGCACCTGCAGCCACCAGTCACATCGAGTCATTCATTGTATTGTTATCTGCCAGAGAGGCTGTGACATTGCAGCAATTAAGACAAACTTTCGTCTATAAGTTCACGCCTGCAATCTCTATCCTTCACCTGGAGATTGATGATCCCTTCAAGGAAGGAAGCAGAGCCTTTTCCAGGCTGCCTCTGAAGGAATGGTTTGGAGTTGTAATTGTTCAGAAGTTGTTTCTTGCCACAAAAGGCCTCCAACCCATTTGGACCCTCTCCAGATCTCAAGTGATGGAGCACCACAAGCAGAGCCTTCTCAGTAAGCAATTTTGCTTGCTCTCAGCCACCCCAAGACAGGGGGCTTCTGGGGGGCTTCCCCAAGAATCAATAGCAGAGGAACTGGAATGTGTTAAAAAGAATAATGGCACTTACGTAAACGACTCAAGAACACCCCACATTCTGCAAAGGGGGGAACCTGCACATCACTGGTGAGCCTGCACTCTTTATTTTGAAGAGAAGAGCATATTTAGATAAGATTGGGGTTAATTGTCGGGATGACAGCTTACTATGAACACGTCCTATTTTTTTCTTTGTATCTATTTATATATTTGCAATAGTTCTTTTAATTTTTGATATGGTCAAATGACTAAATAAAGTTTCTATTCTAAAGCAAATTTAAAACAATAATGAAATATTAGTGATTTAACAAAAACACGAGGGGCATGATTACTCAGCAGTTAAAGATGCTGAGCTTGTCAGGCTGACAGCCCAGGTTCGACACCCGAGCACCGTGCAACGGGTGGAGCTCCCGTTCCTTGCCTCAGCTCCTGCCCACTTAGCAGCAGTTCAAAAGCATGCAAATGTGAGTAGATAAATAGGTACCATTTCGATGGGAAGGTAACAGCATTCTATGTGCCTTTGGCATATACTCATGCTGGCCACATGACCACGGAAACCTTTTTGGACAACAACCAGCTCTCAGCTAAGAAACAGATGAGCGCTGTGCTCTGCAGTTGGACACGACTAGACAGCGAAAAAGACCCAAATTCTTACATTTTCAGCATAGTCTTTTAATGTCATAATTATTTGGGCAAGGGGCAAAAATTGAGTAGGGCAGTCTATGACGCAACCATCTGCAACAGATACATGTTTTAGGGTGCAGAGAAACCTTGCCTTCCATCGAAGGCTGGATTTCTGTCAGACTGCTTGCCAGAGGCTGCTGGTCGTTGGTGGGCTGGATTACAGCACTATTTCCTTCTTCTTGTTTTTGGTCTGTTCTTTCTGGCAGAGACCTGAACTTTTTGAGGAGCAGCTACTGAAGGTTAGGACATCAGAGGATTGCGGAACTCCCAGCCTCATTTCTTAGAATTGGCCTCCATTTGACACATGACTCCATCTGGCGATGTTAATGGATAGACTTCATCACCGGGATCAGTGAGATTCATCTAAGAGGCTAAACCCTGAATTAGGTAAGAAGATGCAATCGTCACCTCCCCTTAACATTCTGAACCAACAGAGGAACTGTATTATCCATGTCTGGTAATAAAACATTACAGCTTGCTAAGTCAGTAGGCCACTTTTATGGATTCCCAGACCAGTCGCCAACGGCCCAGCCTAAATTTAGCCTGGTGTTCTAAAAAACTAGCTATTGCAGCTTTAACTGGTGTTGGTGGCACAAGTGCACACATTTAATTGAATAAATGAATGATAAGTCACATCAGCCTCAAGCAACATTTGTGTGGGTGGGTGGGTGGGAGAGAGAAAGAGGGAGGGAGGGAGGGAGGGAGAGGAGAGAGAGGAGAGGAGAGGAGAGGGAGAGAGAGAGAGAGAGAGAGAGAGAGAGAGAGAGAGAGAGAGAGATCAGCGACTTAAGTATAGGAACAAAGGAATTTTCCCATCGAAGGGTCCAACTTTGCTATCAGCCATGGCCAGCAGCACCTTTTCTGCAGTTCAGGCAAGAATTCCCCTAAGAATGAACTTTAGACTTATTCAGTCCCAAGGAATTGTTCTACTGCTCAACGTAATAACAACATCATCAACAAATGAAAACCCAATCCAACTTTCCCCCCATATCTTCTGCTAAAATCTCGTGATGTCCTTGGTGTCCACCTCATCCTACACAAAGAGTGGGTATAGAGGAGAGTGTAAGCACACAATTGTCTGTTCCAAAAATAAATTTAGCACACACCCTTTGGCAGATACTGCTTACACCTTTTTATTCTTTCATCTTGATCCATTTTGTTCCACTGGTCCATCATCTAAAAATTCAATTTCAAATCCCAATCCAAAGCAGGCACATGACTGGGTCCACAGGATGGCCACCTCCATTCTGCTCATGTCCTTATATTTAGCTAGCAAAGGTCCCAAAGTGTATAAAATACTTGGAGGCCAACATATATACATTCGGTTTAATTAAAATATATGCTCCTATTGTCTTAGGGATGCAGGGGGCCGTGAGAGAGGAGTGGCAAAGGACATCCGCTGAATTGCTTGAAGAAAAAGGATCCCGGCAGGCTCAGCTGTGAAATGGGTTTGCCGGGAAGCTCTTCAGAGGCCGTTCGTTGTCTGGTGGGAGAGAGAGAGCACATCTCTTCCGCTCACTGGGATCCCTGTTGCTGCAACCGCCTCTCCTCCAGGGTCCGGCACACCCACATGGAGACAACTTCAGCGTTCCCGTCATTGTACTGCACAATAAAGAGGTGGCCCTAAAAGAACAAAAAGCGGCTTCAGTCAAGAGGGTCAAATAGCTGAGGAGTGAAGGAAATGCAAGATTCTTGTCACCCTACTAAAGATTTTTGCAAGAAATCCCGACTGTGTGAACCAGTCTACTAAAAAAAAAGGAGGGAGTTTTATCACTGAAATATGTGCCTTATGTATAACTACGGTATCAATCTCTCTGGGTTTTTTAAAAGTTTAAAAATAAACTGTGTGTTTTTCTTTTGAAGGCTCAATTTGAGCACGCAAATACATCCTGGGAACTGAGAAGGGCTTTTCAAGCAGCCGAAGAGAAGACAAATAGGTTTCCCACGTGCTAGAAACATTCTCCTGCATTAATTTTGATACATTTCATATTTCATCCCCAGGTCACAAAGTCATGAGAAAATATGGGCTCTGCAATTACACAGAGACAAAAGATGGAAGCCACGGAGAAGTCCCCTTTCCTTTCTTGAGTCCAGGACCATCTAAGAAGGCAACAGGAGATAACGCCCAGTGCAGTGTTTTTCAACCATGGCAACTAGAAGGTGTGTGAGTTTCAACTCCCAGAATTCCCCAGCCATGCTGGTGGAGGAATTCTAGGAGCTGAACTCCACCCACATCTTCAAGGGATTGAGCATGAGAAACACCGTTCTAGGGTTCTGAATTACTGCGAAGGTTGAAAAGCGAAGAGCAGAAGCAGAGATCTGAAAGCCTCGTCTGATGCTACCAGCTTCCGTGCTTTGTGTTGGGCCACATGAGACCGGCATGTAATGCCTGATGTCCTATTCTCAGAAGGCTGGGCAACAGGACTGTTCTCTAAGGTGCCTCTCTACTCTTAGATTTGGGATGAGGGGGGAGCTGTGAAATAATTTTGAAAATGTGCAACTAGCGCCTTCTTTTAGAGGTCTAAGTGACTTGATTTACTTTTCTCCAGAACACATAACTTCCTTCAAAATGAACGGCTTAATACACGGCCCCAAACTCTTCGAGAAGAGCTGGAAATCTGAGGAGCAAAGGCCGGCTGGGCTGAAGGGCCTGGTGTGAAAAAGGGCAGTCAGGCACAGAGGTGGGATGCACAGATGGTCTGGGGACAGGGAGAGAGGAAAAGGCTAGTAAGAAGAAGCTTTGAGGTGTAATCACATTAGGAAGATGGAGATTTACTTAATCTCCTCTTTGGACCTGAGGGGAGCAACGTGCCTCCTCCACTAAAGCTTAGGAAGGCCTTTCAGATTATTCTAAATTCCCCCATTTCTGCCCCAGGGTAAGTGTGTCCTCAGATGCACCACTGCCACCCCTGCTTGACTTCAAATCTTTCCTTCTTCTGATGAATAGTGTTTCCTGCCTTGTTTTTTCCCCCCTGCCTCTAAATAAATTTTTCTCAACCTTTAAGATGTATGGACGTCAAATCCCAGAGTTCCCCAGACAGCTGGTTGGCTAGGGAATTCTGGGAGTTGACATCCACACATCTTAAAGTTCCCAAGGTTGAGTAACACTGATCTAGATGGTTTTGTGCAAGAAGAAACCAAAGAACCCAACAACTATTTTACCTTCAGGAGAAGGTAAAATTCTGGCTGGAGAATTCTGGGAGTTGAAGTCCACACATCTTAAACTTGCCAGGGTTGAAAAATGCTGATCTAGATTCTTACAAAAGAAGGAATTGAGGAAAGGAAAGGATGTGTATACTTTTAGCTTTCAGCATGTTTTTTTTTAATTGCCTAATATGGTATTTGTCAGGACCCAAACCAAACCCCTCTGCCCCCCCCCCTCCATGTCCTTCTGCTCAAGTCCCATGCTTATTTCTTCAGGACCCAGATTCCTTACACTAATCACTCTTCACCAAATGCCACAAGGTTAAATTTGCTTAACTGTTTGTAAAACACATGGAGATCCCTGCAGGAAGAGAAAAGAGGTCCTCCTTCACAGTCAAGGCTGAAATTACCTGTCTTGCCTTTTAAACAAGCAGTCACAAACCCAACAAGAGTCAAGGAACAAATCAAGAGGCTGGAGACAAGGGAGCAGATTCCCAGAGCTATAGTAAGATCAGCCATTAGGCAGAATCCGCGGGTTTCCAGCACAAATCTCCTTTTTCCGAGAAAAATGGGCCAAGTCGTTTGTTGCCACCGCTGGCAACTGAACAGTAGGCCAAAATTCCAGTCCTTGGAAGAGAGTCGAGGGCAAACATGGGAGTGGCCTTCTTGGGTCTTCTATGGCTGGCAAGAGCTTTGGAAGAACATGTTCAAAAAAATAAACATTCTCCACCACAGAACACAGAAGAAAGAATAGGGCTAGGTGGGATCTCAGAGTCTTCCACTCCAACCCTCTGCCCAAGGCAGGAGACCAAACTCCATTCCAATCAAATGGCTGTCCAGTCTTTTCTTGAAAACCTCCAACGAAAGTGCAGCCACAACTCTAGTGGAGGCAAGCTGCTCCATTTGTTAATTGTTCTCACCGTTTGGAAATTCCTCCTTATTTCCAAGCGGAATCTCCCTCTGAGGAGCTTCCACCCATTGTTTCTTGTCCTGCCCTTCAGATGCTTTGGACAAAAACCTCTGTGACAGCCCCTCTATCTAGGGTGGGCCTGACCCTATGAGGGGCTGCTTTGAGGGACATTGCTGGACCTTGATATAGAACGTTTCCTTGGAATGAAGACTTCTGAAAAATTAATGAGCCATGTTATTCTGGAGAACTTTGGGGTGAAGTCAACGTCTTGGTTGCATTATGTGATTTTGGTGGAGCGATTTCAACTTCAATGTTTTATTGTCATCTTTTGCAACGACTGTGACAGGCCAAGAGTCATGAGAGGTAGTGGGATAGCAACCTAATAAACAAGACTTATGAAAAGCCCAGCAGCCACTGCCGAAGAATGGCTGGGGGGAAAAGATCCCCTGCAGGTGGATTCCACTTGCTAAGCTGCCCAGCCTCAGGAGATGCAGGGCAAGGTCTCTTCGCCCCCCCCCCAAAGAGAGGGCAGCTTGAGTAAAAGAAAAGGGAGCAGCAGCAGAGAAAGTTGCCCTTGATCACCCTTGTCTCAATGTTCCCCCCCTTGGGGGGGATTCTGCGGGGCAGGAAGAAGCAGAGAGGAGGCTGGGGGGCAGGGGGCTGGGTGCAAGAACAAGCCAACGACACTGGAAATAGAGATGGCAGTTCGTGCAGGTATAATGAAGTTCCAGGCAGTTAGAAAGAGACAGACCCCATTTGTTAACCCGACATTCTCATTTCTAAAGAACGAAGAAACAAATAGAACACAACAAGCATGGAAGGAAGGAATGGAAAAGAAGAGAGGGGGAAAAAAAGAGAATGAAAGTCCTTGTGTGCTTCACCAGCTTTGGGGAGGGAGAGGGAGGCTCTTTATTCCTGAATAATATTGCTCCAGATCTAAAAAGTCCACAATTCTTAAATATCCCAGTAGAGATTCCCTTCATTTTATCAAGTAATGGTGCAGAAATGTAAATGTGCAGAAGTTTAAAACGCATTTTCTGTAGCAGTGAAGGCTCCTCCAGACAAGAGACTTTGTGGGTGAGGGATCCGGACCCTCCGCTATTGCAACCTGAGCTGGAGCTGATGTTGCAGAGGTCTCCCACAAGCTTCACTTTAAAGAAGGGAGGGGCCAACAGTTAATCCAATGCTTCCCAACTGTGGCACCTTCCAGATGTTCACCTCTCAGAATTCCTAGATCCAGTGGAGCTGTTGTTAAGAGTCAATGGCTAAGGAGGCCCTCAAGGTTGGGAAGGCCGAGCTAACTGGTCAGAGGAATATCTTGGCTCCTCCTCCACTTGGCACCCGGGGGCCTTATTCTCTGGGCTCGCCCCCAACTTCAGCACCAGGACCTTCCTGCCCCGGTGAAGGCTGCTGCTCCTGGTCTTAGCCCTCAAATGGCTTTCAGTCCCGTGGCCCTTCCTTGCCTCTTTAATCCAGAGCTTTTTCCGGCAGTATTGGACAACATCCCTGCCGTCATGGAGAGGACGCTTCAAGGGCTGCAAGGCAGGACGTGGGGAAGGAAGATACTGTCACATCAAGGCGACATTCTTACAAGGCCGAACTTAAGGTGAGCAGCTGAAAGCCACCATGAGACTCTCTGCGAAGGGGATGGACGTGCACGGCACAAGGCCCCAGGAGGCGAATACAGGTAGTCCTCAGCTTATGACCAGAATTGACCCCAACAATTCTGACACTAAGCGAGACAGTTGTTAAATGAGTTTTGCCCCATTTTACGACCTTTCTTGCCACAGCTGTTAATAGTGAATTAGTGCAGTTGTTAAGTTAGTAACAGGGTCGTTAAGTGAATCTGGCTTCCCCCCATTGACTTTGCCTGTCAGAAGGTGGCAAAAGGGGATTATGTGTCCCTGGGACGTGGTGACCGTCCTAAATAGGAACCAAGCACCTGAGTTTTGACCATGGGGATGTGGCAACAGTCATCACTGTGAAAAATGGTCGTAAGTCACTTTTTTCAGTGTTGTTGTAACTTCTAATGGTCACTACGTGGACTACTGTAAGTCGAGGGCTGCCTGTATTAGGTACGAGTCAATGAATGTTAAAAATGGAGATACATGTTTACTTCTCTGTAATTTTTAAGAAATACACCCCTTAACTTTCCTCACTTTTTACTAGTTCCTTGCTTAATTAACCTACTATATACCATTTTCTCCATTAAGAAATCTCTGTTGATCCAGCAGGATCTTAATCCTACACGGTGGCCCAAATTTATCAGGAAGCAATAAAAACAACCACTCTCCACTCGCCCGTGAAAGACAAAGATGTGTCAATTTCCCCAGCATTTTGCTGTGAGTAAATCTTGGGCTCAAGGGCCGTAGAAAGGAAAAGCTCAAGCATCTCCTTTAAGCTCTGGGGAAAGTCCACACTTTCGGGGCAAAAGATTCAGCCCCAGCCAGGTCAGGTCAGAGGCCTGGAGATGCTAGTGGGTGAGTGTCAGCCAGCCTAATTTTCTTTGCCAACTCTGAAAATGAGATAAACAATGACAAAATAGGCATTTTAAATGAACTTGTCACAT